ACGGCTAGCGCAGATAGCCCTCGTGTAGCTTTGCGCGAAATTCAAATATAAAACAGTTTTGAAACAGTAATTAAACGATGGTGTAAAAAATATAGCACGTGTTATTGTTAATACAGAGCTTTGAAAATATGGTAAGTTCCTTTTTATGTGGAATGAAAAGGTTATAAGGTCAGATATGTTTGTGACATGCTGCCTTTGTTAAGTGGAATACTTTGGTATTTGGTGCTGGACGACCAGATTATATATGAAGCGGACCTTGGAGGAAGATTAATACACACATCGTCCATCCGACAGTAAAAATTATTCTAAGTCAAGCTTTACGTTTTAACCAGTTTTCCGGCAACTCGTCAACCAGGAGAGTAACAACACACACGGTGTAAAGAACTTGTCAGATCTAAGTTTAGCACTTTAGCCTCTCGTCAGCTTGGTCTTCAAGTGTGGCGCCATCTAGTAATATACTGAAAAATAAAATAGTAGTAAAACTAGAGTCAGTAATAGCTATACCATGTGTTAGAGCGTGTTGTTTTTAATCTGTTGAAAGCTGGAACTGTCAACTGGTAGTTGAGATTGAAGGCATGCTTCATTACCTAATGTTAATAAAAACATAGAACTGTTGACGGGAGACGCTACTAACTTATCATGACGAAGGACGGCGAATCAGCGTGACAGAAAAAAATCATGAAGATTCGTCATCGAATAAACTCGTTCATCAAGCTATTTCTTAGCTACGCCTAAGTTAAAGCATCTGGATGACTTCAACGAAAAAATGTTGTCAGTTTTTTTCTTTTAGCAAAAGAATGGTTTGTTCTTTTCAAGGGGAGTTAATGTACAAAAGAAGCCGAACATATGTGCTGGCATTATTCAGTGTAAATATCTGTTGACTTCCTTATTTTATTTTACATTATTCACATTTTCTAATTTTATACTCATCACTTCTAGGTTCCTACTTATCAGTATAGGAATTAGTGTATCTGGATTTCCTCCTCAACTTCATTAGGTTCCTACTTATCAGTATAGGAATTATTGTGTCTGGATTTCCTCCTCAACTTCATTAGGTTCCTACTTATCAGTATAGGAATTAGCATGGTTGGATGCGTTGATGTTTTTTCACATGTAAATGAAGAAGTGTCCACTTTAATTTTACTGCATACTACTGTGCT